TTATGCACATAACACCCTCTGTGTAGTGGAGGATGAGTTATCTAAACAGGATAAGAATGGAGATGGATGATCCAGGGCTGACTTTCTGGCTGAGAAGTGCTTTAATTATAATTAGGGGACAGGAAAGAATGAAAGGAGAGGAGAAATGGTGGGAATCCTTTTTTTTTTCTGTCAGAGATGACAGGATGAATTTACAGTTCTAGGAGATGGCCTCTGAACATCCCCAGAACATTTGCACTGAAGTGTATTCATTTGTTAAGAAGCATAGCAGCATTCCTTTTTTAAAAAAAACAGAGGAAAGAAGGGAAACATCTGACACAAGGGACTTTAGATAGATGTAGAGTTAGTTCCAGCAGGCTGTAACATGCTGCAGAAACATCAGCCCAGCTTTCAAGGCAAGGGAGAAAGGTTCCACACAGGATCTGTCTCTGGAATGGGGTGTATGTCTGTCTCTGTGTGTGTAGATAATGCCATGATGAAGTGGAGACTTCCACTTCCTCCCATCCCAAATTTCCACTGAAATGTGTGGTAGGTGCCATATGCCAGTTCTGTATTTGCTTGGACTTTTCTCCCCCCCCCCTTTGTTGATATGCGTAATGCAGGTCTTCAAAACGTCCTCCCAAAGGAGAGGATTCCACAGCTGAGTGCCTATACCTTCAGTCATGCTGCATTCAGGATAAATGCTATCATTAAGATCCTTTTGGTGGATCTTGGAAATGGTAGTAGCTACAAGCGGTGGACATTTGAGCAGATTGGTTTTAAACAACTTGGTCATGTTTCTTAATAATTGGCTCCAAATCACTACATATAATCAACTACCAAGTTACTTGTATGTTACGCTATGTGCGCGCCCTATTAATTCTAACTTGCGACTATTAAATATGGGAGCTTTGTATTTGTATCACGGGGGGGGATACGAATACAAACCTAGGGACCACAGGTCCCCCCGAACCAGCCTGGTCCATTCACTGGGCTCCTTGCAATGCACAAACCTAACGGCGGCAGCATTGTGCCAATAGCGGACATAATCCTGCTGGTGCTGCCCTGCCTCTCCGCTCAGTTGACCGCTCAGCAACTTGTATCCCCCAAGATACGAATATGAAGCTCCCATGTTTAATGGCGATCCATTTCATCGTTTTCTAGGTAAATACAGTGGTGCCTCACTTGACAACGTTAATTCATTCCAGCGAAATCGCTGTAGAGTGAAAACGTCATAAAGCGAAATAAAAAAGCCAATTGAAACACATTGAATGCATTCCAGTGGGCTGAAAACCTCGCCGTCCAGTGAAGACCCTCCATAGGGGCGGACATTTTAGGTGCCTGTAAAGCGAGGAATCCGTCCAAAAACACAGTGGGGAGCCATTTTGAGCAGCTGGTGGCCATTTTGAAAACGCGACAATCAGCTGTTTTGATCGTTGTATTGCGAAGAATCGGTTCCCGAAGCAGGGAACCGATCGTCGCAAAGCAAAAAACCCCCACTAAAACATTGTCGTGAAGCGGATTTGTCATTATATGGGGTAATCGTTAAGCGGGGTATGACTGTAGTACTTAGAAGTAGTTTACCATTCCCTTCTTCTGGGGGGGCACCCTGGGACTGTGCAGCTTGCCCAAGGCCACACAGGCTGGCCTTCCCCCCCCCCTCCGGGAGAGACATTGGAGAATTGAACTCCTAACCTTTGGCACCACAGGCAGATGCCAATCCCACTGACCTATCCAACCAGCTTACTATGTGATTGTAGCAGGGTTCAAAGAGGTGAACAATAATGAAAACAAAAGAATGGGAGCCCCATAGACGTGTCTTAGGAACTGGATTGTAATAAAGGAATGTTAATCTTTCAAGGTGCCACCGACTTTTTTGTTAAGCATACTATTTTACTGGTTCTTTGCGCCTCCTCTCCCTCCCATTCCTGTTCCATGTGGTGCCATTTATTGCAACCATTGTGTTTACAGAGCCTGCCTTAAGAGGGGCACCCTGCAGAGCTGGCAGCTGGGAAGGCTGAAACAATGCCATGAGTTAATGGGCCAAAAGGACTATCAGTGTTTTTCTCATTAAAGTAAAAAAAAAATTATTATATATTGTACAATGACCATAACTTTCTCTCTTGGCTTCCAGGAACATATCTTGTGGAATAAATGATTGCTGTGTTATTTCAATGTAAATGAGACCACAGGATCATAAACTTTAATTTGTTAGTTTTGGCTGCTCTCCAGTTTGGCAGCCGATTAAGCCAGTTCATTAGTGGGAGTTCAGAGGTACAGGCCCTTCTTTGGTAATATTAGCAGGAGAGTCTGTCTGAGCTCATGCAGAAGCTTGTTTGTCAGGTGAGGTGAGGATAAGCTTAATGGCTTTTTGTATATGTGACAGTTTGTATGCCTGACATGGACCCTGTGATCCAGGAGCAAAAATTTGCACAAGGATTTTAGATTTGGGAGCTGACGTTTTCTCTCTAGCTATAGACTAATTTTTGATCTACACAGGCAAATAGTGTTATGTGAAGTTAATGAGACTGTACCTTTTCAGACTTTCAGTGGGGCTTCCCCCAGATCATGTCTCCCAGCCTCGTAAGGCGATCTTGTTAGCGAGAACCTTCTGGGGTACAGTTTCTCTCCCGTGTGACAGTTAGGTTTTCATCAGAATCTGCCTTCAAATTGTATTTCTCCCTTGCAGCCCAAAGCGATGCAGTCTGTGAATTTTGAACCATGTTGATCTGCATCTGTAGTTCAGTTGTATTTTATTATTACTAAGTTTATTTTGCCTTGAGGTCGTAGGTGCCCTGCCACGATGCACCACAATTTTCCTCTCCCCAGCACATTTTTTTTTGCAGTTATATACTCTGTTTGCCCATTCTGAAACTCAATGTTTAGTTTAACATTTGCCCCTACTCAAACACGCTGGAATGACATGGAATTTGGAGTATAAACTACTTCCCCCAAAGCGTGCTTATCTCCATAATTATTTTCTTTCTCTTCAAATAACAAACACTGAGGGATTTTTATTGGCTGTTGGCTCTAGAAGTTTTTTTTCCCTTGTCTTGACTCAAAAAAAAAATTCTTTGTATTAAGGCTGGGTGCTGACAGCAAAGACGAGAGCCTGCTCTTCAGAAGGTGCTGCTCCAGCTGTATCTTACTTGACTTGTAATCCTTGTGACACTTGTCAGGAATGCCAGTTGCTCCACCACCAGGATGACAGAGCCCTGGGAGGGGGGGTGGTGGCGGCAGCAGGAGAAAAGCCAATTCCCCCCTGTCATCTCCTGCAACTGTTAAAAAGAGGATCAAATGTTTCAGCCAGCAAAGTGAGAACAAAAAAAGAGAGAATGTATGACTTTTCATGGGTTTGTGAGGGAAGGATGGGGAAGAGCGGAGACAACTCCTCTCCCACTGAGTTAACGGTATTCTGTGGTCTACCAAAGGGCTATTCTGGAAAACTACCCCACAGGTCTCCTACCAACAGCTGATGGGTGCCTGTCGGTTTGCGGCAACACTGGCGCCCTACTTAAAGAACACCCAGTAAGTGCAGCGGTGACCCCTTTCATTATTTGGTCAAACAGCCCTGGGCTGGCACAGTGCCCGAGAGAGACAGCCAAGGCGCTGGTTCTGCTAGCTGGATTCCGCGCTCGGAGCCCCTGGATGAACCGGGTGTTGAAAACCCAGGATCGCCGGTTATAATTGAGCCGGATGGCAACTCTAATGTCACCGAGGGGAAGCTGAGAAACCATTAGCGCGATGGGATGATACAAATGCATTCGCATCCTATTTCATGAGCGTGTGGGCTCTGGTCTCTACTGTCCAAAACCCAATTTCTCCAGACTGTGCTCAGATCTAGGCCTGTAAGCTCTTTAGGAGGATTTGCCATGGCGTTTTACATCAAAATGTCGACTGCCCCTTTTCTGTCTGTTTCTCCCTCCACTTATCTAAGTATCTTCCACTAGGATTTTCCTACATGTATCCTGAGTTTAGTGTATTGCATTTAATGTACAATCCTGTAAATTTGAGATAAGACCTTGCACTCAGCTTCACAAGTGTACGCAAAGATTCTTTCAACCAGTCTTCAGAGATAACTTTTAAGTGCTGTTTCAGCAACAGGTGCCAGAAGGAACAGAAGGTAACCCCCTTCAGCAGCATGTGGTTTCATGAGTTTTTTTTTTTAAATATTGCATTCCTTTTTGGTCTCTCTTTGGCTTTCCCCTGGCCCTCCCTCTGCCATCAGTTAAGGCCTCAAATCACTGTTTAGATTTTCCATTATGTTCTGAAATGGCAGTCTGTAATTTCATCTCGTCATTTCTCCCCAGCCCTCCCCGCAGCCTCCTCTCTCCCTTGTAATACAGTGTGTTACTAGAAATGGTGTATTCCTGATAAAATATTGATTGTGGCAGCTTTATGGGGCTGTGAACTCAGTAGGGGCATTGGCCTTTGAAGTTCTCTGATTTCCTTCAGGATTTCTTGGGTAAAAACGCAGCAGACTCTCTAGGTGAACTGCTTGGCCTGCAGAATTCTCTTTTAAGGACAATATATTTTGAATTCACCACACATTTTGCCAAGGGTAAGAACGCCAATGCAAACCAAGTATCTGTGCTTGGAACTGCGTAAAACATAGATGACAGCTTGACTCTATTGTCTAATAATACTTAGACTCAACTTATTGGGCCTTCCTGATTTTTTTCTACTGAGCAACACTTAGATGAGTGAGGATTTGCAAGATAAATATATTACTCCAACCTGCTCTTTCAGGTTTGAGGAACTGCACTATTTGAACAGAACTATGAAGCAGATGAAGCTATTCCTAGATGTTGTTTAATAAAGTCCAGGTGTTTGGGGGCAAACATGACCCTTTTATTTATCCGCAGGAACTAAGAGACAGAGGTGCGTGTAGAGGTGTAGTTCTGTCTAGCAGTAGAATGGGCTTCCAGAGAGAGAGGCTGCATCGTCTCTCACCTCTTGAGACTAGTTCTCCAGAATAACCTGTCGCCAATCCAAACAGGGCATTTCTGCTAGCCAAGGGCAAGAAGAAGAAGAAAGTTCCTTGAGGCAGAAATACAAAGAAACTGAATGATCTTCTGCCACCTCGTCCCATGAAATCTCTGCACTGTTTGGTACGGTTGTAGCACTTCATACTAGGCCCAGAATCGGTGACAGCCCCAGTAATGTGTGCCGTGTGTACCAACCTGGGCCACAAGCCGCCTTGGACTTGGCAAGCTGCATTCAGAAAACAGCAAACTCCCAGATGAACCGCATGACTCTTTAATGATCCAAATTTGCCAAAGGTCTAGCCGCGTTAATAGGCTGAGCACGTTCATCAATAAACCATTTACTCTCCCTCTCCCTCCCGGCAGTCGCTCTGACTAGATCTGACACACAAACACTTAACTACCTTTTTTTCATCCAAAATCAATGTTGTATTTATCTTCAATGATCTACAGAGAAACCAAATGTTTAAAATTACAGGGATGCCGGGAGAAGGATGAAGGTGGGGTTGGGAAGGAAATACAGAAAGTCAAGGAAGAAAATACCAGCAGATCTTTGTTACCCGACAGCAGTAGCCTAGTAGAATAATATAAAATGTGGACATGGTAGACATACGGAAAAAAAATAATAAGAAAAAGCTTGTACTATGGGACTGTACAGGAGAAACTCAAGCACGAAGCCTGCAGCAGGCAGCTTCTGTACGTGCGTCCCTAGCACAATGGGGCCCCCGCATGCACAACATAATGCTCTGTGTGCAACATCCCTCCCCAATCCAATTGTGTGCTGGGACTTGTTAAAAAGAGAAAGCATCCCTGCCAGTCAACTGTTGTATCCCCTCTGCCTTTCTACTTTTTCTGTTGAGCAACCAGTTTGAAAGACAGAATATATAAAAAAAAGAAACCGCATATATTCCATTTCATTGAGGCCTAACAAAACTCACCTATGCAACATAACATTGTAAATGAAACTAGGAACGGTGCCAAAAAATTATGGAGATGGGGTGGGACTTGCAAGGCAGAATTCATACTGAAACAAACATTTGAACAGCTCATTGCAAATTACAGAGAACATACCAGATTTTTAAAGTAATAATTTGCCTCTTTTGTTTTCGTACTCCTCGCATTGCTGCGACGCCACTTCTGACAAGAACGGTGAACACAAGGGATCTACAGTACAAAGTGCTTGCTCACCCTTGTGCCTGACCCCACAACTGTGGCAAAATTAGGGGTGGGGTGAGGTTGGGGAGATCTGCAGGATATTACTGTGTCAGTTTCATCTGGATTGTATACATTTCCATATAGATAATCTGGAGCTTCTCTTTATCTCACTGATTATCCTTCTGTTCAACACACAAACAAAATGAAAAAAAATTACTAACTTAGGGTTTGTTTTTTAGGAGGGAGGGTTTTGTGTGCATAATATAATCTTGCCTCTAAATGTAAGTATTGCCATTCTTTCTACAAAGCTGCATGTTTGGTGAATGAGTTGGGGGTGGTGTGAGGGGAGGGGGTTGTTTTGTAAATACTTTCCTTCCCATCCTCCTCTCCCCACATCAACGAGGACCTGCCTCCAAAATTTGTTTTGCATAGTTGAAATATATATATGCCACAACTTTTTGGGTGGTTTTGTTTTTGTTTTGTTTTGTTTTTTTGCTGGGTTTTATCCAGTGACAAGGATGAATTGGAATAATGTTAACAAATAACCAGAGAGTGGTTCTAGAAACCATTTTTTATAAAGTCTACCTATGTTAAGAATTCAATATTGGTGTACATTTATATTAACAGAATATTTACATATTGTTTTCTTTTTTTGTCATTAAAACAAGTCAAAAAATTCTCATTTATCCATAATATAAGGCAAAAAACAAACAGTTTTGTACATTATTATTATTATTATTATTTTTAATATATATCTGTAACTTCAGTTCCAAAGTACCAAGAGAAGTGAGTAGCCTCAGTTTGGGAACCTCACAGTGGACTGTACGAAACTACAGTATTTCCATAAATAATACTTTAAGAAACCCTGGGTGTGTTTTGTTTTTACTTAAGGATCTGAGGCCGTTAAATTCAAACTAAAAACAGAAGTCTTTTTAAGTGAATAAAAAGCACAAAATTAAAAAAAAATTCAGATTCTTTAAAAATGTTTCTCACATTTGGGGAAAAATGTACAAACTTGATAATATTTTAACTCAGCACAGAAGCAAAAACAAAAACAGAAAAATAATCAAGACCTATATATTAAATTTCAATTTTTCAGCAACCATCTGTTTGGAAGGTTTATAACCTTGATTTCCCCCCTCCCCCTCCCAAATTATTTATGGAACTGTGCTTAATTTCTACAAATTTTACAGTTTTAAAAAAGTTTACAGCAGTGCATTTTTAAAAGGTTCTCCCCCTCCTATATTTACAGGTGAGTTTTAAAATTCATCCTGTTGGTTAGATAGGGACTATCGTGCCTCTACTTCTTTGGGGTTCCTAGAAGGAGAATAGTCTCTTGACTCTGAACTTGTGAGTGGAGTAGTCCGGCGTGGGGAGGAAGGTCTCGTACTACTTGCTGGTACCAAAGGGGGCGGGGCACTCAAAGCGGCGGTGGGCGGGTTCCTATTCAAGATTCCATTGTGCATGGCAGCAGAGGGGCTGAGTCTGGGATAATGCATCCCGCTGAGATGAGGCATGAAGGATGGCATGTGTGCCAGGTGGCTTTCAATAGGAGATGAGTGCAAGTGATGCATCCTGGCACGCTCAAGTTCTTCGCGTAAGTGCAACCTCTCCCTTTCCTCTGCTTGCCTGAGCCGTTCTTGTTCACGCCTGGCTTCAAGAAGATTCTCATGATTGTAGTCATGGGGTTCTCTATCTCGGTAAGAACGCTCGTGATCATAAAATCCAGAGGTGGTGGGGAACCTATGGATGGGATCTGCTCGGAGCTGGAAGTCCATCCGACGATGCAGGTCTAAGCTCCGATAGGCATCTCGCAATGGGTCCCTCACTGGATCCCAGGAAAAGCCAGGATGGGGAAGTCTCTCCCTTCCTGACAATGGGTTCATGCCCATTAGAGGGGTCATCATTCTGCTACGATCTAGAACATTCATATTGTTCATCTGATGGACGCTACCCATGGAGATGGGCATGGTGGCTGCCATTGTATGGGGCAATGGTAACCCATGCAAAGAAGATGGTGGTGGGTGTTCAGCTGTTCTGGAATGCTGTGAAGGTTCTGAGCTCACAACCAATACATCACCATCCTCCTTGCGCTCTTCTTTGACCTTGATATCATTCTTGATTTTCTGAAGGTCGGCTGGAAGCTCTGGCTTTCTTTCAATGTCCTTGTTCATTAGATTGCTGAGTTTTAAACTCTCGCTCAGTGCAGGCTTGCTGTAGGGCGATACAGATTGGATTACTGGCTTTGTGTTGTCCTCCGAGGATCTTTTTTCATGGCTTGGTGGTTCCTTCACTGGGGAGCGGCTTTCTTTGATCTTGTGCTCCACAGTTGGAGGAGGATCCCTCAACCGGTCAGGAATCTCTCTCTCTGGTTCTTTAGACCTTTCTCTGTCACTGAGGCCAACTTGCCTGGTGGGATCATTGGAGGTCTGGCTGTTGCTGCGAATGAGGTTGCTGATCTGGTGAGTCACTGGAGCTGAAGCTGGTGAGGATCTATTTGAATGTCTATTTTTATCCAGAAGATCTCTGGAAGAAAATACAATGCATTGTAAACATTCTCTTCTCTTCTTATAAACTTGTTAGGAATATTGTTATTTAATAATATGTCACCAGTCTTTAAATCATCAGTCCTCATTGCACAAACACAAACATAACTGCTGTTCAGAAACTGCCACACCAACTGAGAATGATGAATTCCAAATGTTTGGAGACAGATTTCTCTCTCTCTTTCTCTCTCTCTCACACACACACACACACAGATTTATTCTTTAGTGTCCATTTGAGCTTAAACTGTCTTCCTACCCACCCTTCAGCTTTATCTTATAATTTTATCTTCTGGCCTCTTGCTGATGAAAGCTTTGGAATGTCTCCTTAACCCACTAAGGCTAGTAAATTCATCCTCTGTGACTCTAAACAATAGTACTGAATGCACATCGGTGGACAAACAAAAACATTACAAAAGTACCCCTAGGAAACTTGGAAAGCTCTGTTTTAAGGAACCTTCAATTGCTGTGATTGGCGCAAATGACAAAAATTATGCTAAAAAACAAGTATTTAATGTGCATTTTCCCCAATAGCAATCCTTTGGGATTTTTCCAGGATTCCTCTTGGCAAGCAATAAAGTAGGATTGCAAAATATGACCTTGGGAGAAGTTTATAAAATTCTTTCCTAGGGGGATGCATCAATTTAAAATCTTCTCTTCAAGTGGAATCCCAGAGTGGTTCCCCTTTCTCTTACTATGTAAAATAATGGAGGTTCAGGAATCTACCAGTGTTCTGTTAACAACATTTAAGAGATGGAGTAACTATGGAAAGAGGATCAAGCTGTGAATTTTTGCCATACTGGCTCCAGCTTCAGAATCTAGGAATTTGAAGAGCAGAATTTTAAAGCTCTTGATTGGAACATTTTGACAGCAGGTTAAACTGGAAAGCAAAACCTGAAAAAGTCTCAAAAACAAACAAAAAAACCCACAACATATCAAAATGTTTGGATTCTAGTGACAGCATACTTCCCAGCAGACCCCAAGGGTAAGAATGATGGCAGCAGCATGGGTGTGGAATCCCAGTAGTAAGGCAGGAGTACCTGCACTGGTACCCATTTGCTCAGGCAGCTAGGCTTGGAAGGCAGGGGAGACCAGAGCAGGAGGTGGAAGACATGGCGACAGATTCCATCCTCCCTCATAGGTAGCAGGGAAGAGCACAAAGGGCAACTTAGCAAGGGCAGACCTTTGGCAGGAGAACCATCCCTGACTATATCTAGGGCAGAAACCCTTTAGAAAGGTTGAACGTCAACAGTGTCTTCACCTACCTTCTCTGTGCCCTCATCAACCCCAATCCCCTTAGCTTTCCTTCCCTCCCTCTTGGCCAGGGTGAGTCTGTATGGCTTCAGTGTTAAAAAAAGATTCTGCCCTACGCTACAGCAGTACCTTGCCATTGGACACCTTTCATCTTGTTGCTTTGTGGCCCACCATTTCTCTTAAGTATTTGCAGCAGCACAGAGACCTGCTTGCTCAGCGAGGTAGCAGCAATCTCTCTTTAGGTCAGTGTTTCCCAACCCTTTTTTTTTTTTTTGAGTCGTAACCCCCCTTTTATCATAGCCAGGTAACCTGCAACTCCCCTGCCACATTTGCATAAAAAGACATTTTTAATGGGGTAAAGTTATCCCTTCTCAGAAAGTAGAGGCTTCTTTCTTCGTCAAAGGGCCTGCTTCTATTACATATGCATACACACTAACTTTAATATCCAGCTGTGAAAGGTCAAGGAAGAAATGATTTAACAAGGACTACGACACATATAAAGTGACCTGCAACCCCCCACAAAACACCCTGCGGCCCCAAAGTAGGGAACCATTGTTCTAAGTGTTGTTCCAATACAGTTCCCATTATCCCCAACTACTGGTTGTACTAGACAGGACTGAATGGAAATGCTGTTGATCAACATCTGGATAAGTTGGCCACGCTTGTGCCAATGAATTGTCTCCCTTGTGACAATTCAAAGTGGTTTATGCTATTTACCGTATTTTTCGAACCATAAGACACACTTTTTTCCCACAAAACAGGGGGGTGGAAAGATTATATTTTCCTGTTTTCTTCTCCTAAAAAATTGGTGCGTCTTATGGAAAGGTGCGTCTTATGCAGCGAAAAATATGGTAATTTCCACACCTTCCTGTATTCTATACTGCCAGGAACCCTGAGTTCAGAAAACGTGGCTTCAGATTTCCTTAGTTAAGTTCTAAGTGGAGCGTATATATTTTTATGAGGATCGTCGTGCATGACTGACGTAAACAGACTCTCTCACCTCTCCTTGTCGCGGTCTTCTTTACTTGAGGAAAGATCCCTCTTCTCTGAATCTCTGTCTCGGTCATGATTTGTTACGGAGGAACTACGCTCAGAATCACCAGGCTTGGGCCACTGTGGAGGTGTTGGGAAGGATGGCGGTGTCCTGTGGAGTCTGTTCCATGGCTCATGGGGGTTGTTGAAGCTCTGGACATTAGGACCTTCTTTGTGAGCAAAAATGCTATTGTGACCTAGAATCAGGAGTAAAGCAGGAAGACTCCGTTAATTCGCTGTTTGGGTGAAGGACAGGGGATACAAAGTACTTTTTGTACCAAATAAATTCTGCAAAAGTGCCAGCTACCAGTACAGTTATCCTTTCATTCTGGAGAGAAAGGGGGGAAAAGGCACATAACAAACATTAATGGCAGAGCAGCTCTGATAACTGGAATTAAACAGCCGCCCATTTAAAGCTTCTGAACAGAAGAAAACTGTGTCACTTTATTGAGGACATTTTGTCTGAAGAGAAGCCATCACTCCCTAATTGCCAGTTTCCCTATTGCAAAATCCATGGCTAAACTGGTCCTGTTGGCACTGCTGCCACTATAAACTAAGAAGATGCCGTTGATTAAAAATGATCATTAAAAAGGATGCAGGGGATGCTGTCATTGAAATCTCTGATTAGGGGATGAACAGACTTGAATGTAACCATTCTCCTTGGGAATGGACCAATCAGTGTGATTAGCTTACCAGTCAAACAATGTTCTTCCCTACAAAGGAACTCCCAGGTCTTCTACATGTAGCTTATCTTAAAGAAGATGCTACCTAGTGGGCCGCTCATTATAATACTGAAAATGAGGGCAAGAATGAATGCAGAGAAATGATGGATCTGTGGTACGAGTTTGAGTTGGAAAAGTGTGCCACTTTCGAGGCTTAAAAGAACATACAGCCCTGTTGGAAGTCTACAGAATTGTAGAGCTGGAAGGAACCTAAAGGATGATCAAGTCCGACTGCCTGCTACAACAGGAAATCCACAGCTAAACTATCCCTGAGAGATGTCTATCCAACCTTTGTTAAGAAATTTCCAATGAGAGTCAATTGTATTACTCTAAGGAAGTCTCTCCCAATGTTGAATTTCTCATAATCATCTATATCTGATCACATACGGGTGGCAATCCCTAGTCCCAGAGATAATGCACGTTATAATATTCGTTGAGTTAACACCAACTTTCCTTCCGACTCCCCTTGTTCTTGGTGAGAACTTATTCAACTCTAATGAGCCTCAATCCAGGAGGCTCACTTCCTAGAAAGATTGGTCTAATTCAACCTTTTGCGTCTTTTGTGGTTAGTTCTACAAGCTGCTTTTGCAAGACGGCAGCTTGCTCTTGAGAAGGACCGCAGTGGTTGGAAATTATAAATGGATAAGAGCAGAACAAAAATATCTATACCTATCCATATATTTTGATATTTATTCCAGTTACTTTGTACCCGAGTACCCACAGCAAATGCACAATCAAATTGCAACATACAAAGAAAAGACCAAAACATTCTTTAAAAACAGGTTAAAACAAAAGTCAAAGGCATGCCAAATTAACACCACACTGCCTGCCTGTCAGAAGCTCACGAAGAATGGAGCCAGCCTGACTTCCCTTGGGGTGGAGTTCACAGTTGAGGTGCTGCTATTGAAAAAGCCCCACTGAAAACAAAAGTCAAAGGCATGCCAAATAACCACCCCACTGCCTGCCTGTCAGAAGCTCACGAAGAATGGAGCCAGCCTGACTTCCCTTGGGGTGGAGCTCACAGTTGAGGTGCTGCTATTGAAAAAGCCCCACTGTTGTATTCACTAGTCTGGAACAGCGTCTACTGTGGCTGAGAAGACCAATTCGAGAGTGACCATCCCTTCCACATTGAAGACAAATACAGTCTGTCCCCTGTCCACCTCCCTGATTTTGCTGCTTTTGGGACTGTTACAATAACCATAATTTAATCATTAATTTTCAAATGATCTTTTGACTACATACAAGCAACAGACCACCAGTGCTCTGAAAAACTATGATTTCAATGCTAAAACAGATAGAAAAGGGTCTGCAGTTCAATCCCTGGCATCTTCAAATAGGCCTGGTAAGGACATCCTAAAGAGCTGCTGACGGTCAGCGTAGACAGCTCTGAGCCACTCCTTATAAAGCAGCATCCTGTGTTCCTGTGAGGGCTGTAATATCCTGTCAACAAGCTTGCCATTGATAAGGAGCAAGGATAAACCATCTACATGTAGCTCTTTTCAATCTCATGATTATTTTTTAAAAAACACCTCACTGCATAAACTGGTAAGTTATTATTGCAAATAGTTGAAACGAAGGCAAAATAAATAAGTGCTGTCTCTTAAGTTTGAGAAGACTGAAATGTCCTACCCATGAGTGATCATATTGTCTTGCTCAATCAGGGACTGAGGAAGAACTGAATGTAGTCCTCTTATCATTTCTCCTACATCTGGATAAATGATTTTTGCTACTAAAGGGGTAACTTGTGTTTTCATCATCAACTTAGAATTTCAGCTTCTTTCAAGAAGGCACAGTGGGGAATCAAACTCCCAACCTCTGGCTCCACAGCCAGAT